TTTTATGTATATGCGTGTATTGCCTGCTTGTAGGTAAGTGCACTCATGTCATGCAATGCCCATGGAGGACAGAAGAGGCTGTCGGATTCCCTGGAACTGGAGTTACAGACAGTTGTTAGCTGCCATGTGGGTACTGGAATTCAAACCCGGGTCTTCTGCAAGAACAGCCAGTGTTCTTAACCACTGAGCCATCTCTCCAGCCCCAACTCTCTTAAAATTTTTTAAAATTTATTTTTATGTGCATGAGTGTTATGCCTGCATGTATGTAAGTGCACTGGTGTTGTGCAGTGCCTGAGGAGGTCAGAAGCGAGTGATGGATTCCCTGGAACTGGGGTTAGCTAACAGTTGTTAGCTGTCATGTGGGTTCTGGGACTCGAACCTGGATCTTCTGCAAGAGCAGCCAGTGTTCTTAACCACTGAGCCATCTCTCCAGCCCCAACTCTCTTAAAATTTTTTAAAATTTATTTTTATGTGTATGAGTGTTATGCCTGCATGCATGTAAGTGTACCCATGTTGTACAGTACCCATGGAGGCCAGAAGAGGACATTGAATCCCCTAGTACTGGAGTTACAAACGGTTGTTAGCTGCCATGTAGGTGCTGGGAATCAAACCCAGATCCTCTGCAAGAGCAGCTAGTGCTGTGCTCGTAACCATTGAGCCATCTCTCCAGCCTTGTTTACCCTCTTTTTTAAATTTAGATTTTATTTTAATTATGTGTGTAAATGTGTGTCTGTGTGTGGGTATGTGTACATGTAATGCAGGTGGCTATGTAGGTCAAAGGCATCAGATCCCCTGGAGTTGAAGTTATAGGCAGTTGTGAGCCACCCACCGTGGGTTCTGGGGAGCAAACTCAGATTCTCTGCAGGAGCAGCACTCTTAATCACTGAGCCATCTCTCTAGCCCTTTACCATCTTTACCTGGACTCAGTCTAAAAGCTTCTCTTGCAAAGGCTAGAGGTGTAACTCAGTGGTGGGTGCCCTGTGTGAGCGAGGCCCTGGGCTCAATCCTCAGCACCTTAAGAAAACAAGCTAAAAGCTTCACTACTTTCAGTTTTCTTTTCACAAAGGGAAACTGAGGGAGGGAAGCCAAGCAACTCACCTGGATTTATAGTCCTAACAAGTGGTGGTCATGACCCTTAACAACTTGGTTCCAGAATCTATAACCTTATTCCTAAGACGTCTATTGACTTCTTGGAAAGTGGTTTTGATTCTGTCTCTAAAGGGACCTTTTATGCCACCCCACCTTTTCTTTTTCTTTTTTCTTTTTTTGATGAAAAAATTGTACTATACAAAATACTGGGCTTCATAAAGACATATCCATAAAGACATATCCATTCATTGTACTTAGCTCATCTTCATCCCTCACTATTCTCCCCTCCCTCCTCACCTCTCTCACTGGCCCCTTTCCTTCCCTTAACAGTATTCCTTCTGCTTTTATGGTGTGTGTGTGTGTGTGTGTGTGTGTGTGTGTGTGTGTGTGTGTGTGTGTACATGTGTGCATCTGGATTTCATGAGAGAAAGCATGTGATATTTTGTCTTTCTTTTCCTCCCGTTACCTTTGCTAGCTCCCCATCTCCTTCCTTAGACCTCTCCATCCCTCAATAAACCCCTTCTATCCATGTCGTGTGTGTGTACCCCTTGCCAGCATTTATTGTCCTTTGCTTTCTTGATGTCCATCCCAACTAGGGCAAGATGGAATTTCAGTGCATGTTAATTTACATTTCTCTGATGGCTAGGGGTACTGAACATTTCTTCAAATATTTATTGTGTGCCATCTCCTTTTATGTCCACCTTTGCCTGAGCTACATCACAATCATCACACGCCTAGTCTACACTGCTCTAACCTTAGCTCATCTTTCTTTTTCACTCTTGGCCCTTCCAGTCTATTCTCTGTTCTGAAGCTGGAATACCATTTTAAAAATGGAAATGTGGGGCTGGAGAGAGGACTCAGTGGTTAAGAGCACTGGCTACTTTTGCAGAGGACCTGGGTTCAATTCCCAGCACCTACATGGTGGCTAACAACCGTCTATCACTCCAGTTCCAGGGGATCTGACGTCTGGCCTCTGTGGGCATTGCACATGTGTGGTGCACTTACATACATGCAGGCAAAACACTCATACACATAAAATAAAAATGAATAAATAAATAATAGAAATAGAAATCAAGTGTGGTGGCTCACACTTGTAATCCCAGCACTTGGCATTCAGGAGGCAAGAGAGCCATGGGCTACATAGCAAATTCAAGGCAAACCTGGGATACAGAATAAGACCCTGTCTCAAATAGACAAAAAGGGAACTAGGTCAGGGAAGCCTGCCACCATCAATAAATCACAAATGAGTTCCTGAGCTTCCAGGTCCTGTCCCCACCTCCCTGACTTCACTCTGAGCACTGAGCACTTGTGCACCCTAGCCCCTTGGCTACCCTGATCTTTTACTTCCTCTCACAGGCAGAACTCATCTCTGGACTTTGACATGTGCTGTTCCCTGGACCTGACATGCTTTTTCTCTCCTTTGCCTGGCTGAGTTCTTTTTATTCTGAGTTTCAGAATTTACATCACCCCTTTGGAGAAAACTGCCATTCCAAGCCCATTTTTCTTTCTGTTCTTTGTAGCATTCATTAAAATTATGTATTTTGCTGGTGACACACACCTTTATATATTTTATTATTATTTTATGTGTACGAGTGTATGGCCTGCATGTATGTAAGTGTGGTGGCACACAACTTTAATCCCAGCACTCGGGAGGCAGAGGCAGGTAGATTTCTGTGAGTTGGAGGCCAGCCTATTCTACATAGTGAGTTCAGGTCAGCCAGGGCTACATAGTAAGACCTTGTATAAAAAATGTGTTCACCCAATGCCTAGCACAGCACCTGGCATGTGCTAAGCACTCAGTGATGTGAAAGGGATGGAAGTATCACATCCTGGCTGCTCTCCTAGCGTTGGTTAGGGCTGTACCATCTCTCTGGAATACCTTCATCCCCTTCTTCCCTGTTTGGATCAGTGACTGAGGTCTAGATAAAACCAGGAAGCCATAGGTAAAAGTGGAAGAAAGTTTTGCTTCAGGCATCAAAGTGGTCATAGAGGGATCCAAGGAAGATGTGCTGCCTCCGGGTATTCCCTTCCCTTCCTTGGTTCCCACCCTGAGGGTCTTACTGCCATAAAAAAAAAATCGATGAAGCCGAGTGTGGTGGCACACACTTTTAATCCCAGCAGTCAGGAGGCAGAGGCAGGTGGATCTCTGTGAGTTCAAGGCTAGCCTGGTCTATATAGTGAGTTCCAGGCCAGCTGGGGCTACGGGGAGACCGTTTCAAAAAGACCAAAAAAAAAAAAAAATCGATGAAACAGAAACACTTCCTATCAGCTGCTCCCACGAACACAGCAGGTGGACTGAATGGATGCAGTGGACTGGGAATCCAAAGACATGTGTCCCAGTGCCACCATGACTAGCTGGATGAATCATGTCTTGCTTCCATCTACAAAGTATGTGGTTTCAACAGAGAAGTCATTTTCTAAATGTTTTCCCCCAGCAGCTCAACTCTTCAAATAATTTAAATGACCAAAATAAGAAACAGATAAAAGCCAAGTGTTTCCCGAAATGGGGGAGCAGGGCTGAATCACTCCTCCCTCCCAACTGCCCCCTTTAAGTCTCCAAGGTTGGCAGGATGGCCAGCTCTGGAACTGTTAACTTGTCCCTGTTCTAAGAACAAAGGAGGCTGCTACTTTGGTCACAGCTACTTAGACGAGTTAAAGGACAAGAGGGGGAGGAAGAGGCCTCATTAATTTGATAGATCTAGGTGAAATGTGCAGCAAGAGAAGTGCACAGCAGGCAGCTCCTTTGTGTTGGAGGATGTTCCAGCCATTTTAGAAAAGAAATGAGGGCCCAGGAGAGAGGAAACCCAGAAGACTTGCCCTCCTGGTGATCTAGAAGGAGGAAACTGCCACCCTTACCTTTCCAGTCCAGGGATTTCAGGTAGGGAAAGAGGCACCTGCAGACCTGCAGCTACTCCAGATTCAATCAGTTGCCACACCCTGGGTGTGTGTGGTGCACTTGGGTCCCCATCTCCTAGGCACCACTCTGGCAGCTCTCTGGCCTTGACTCCAGGCAGGTGTGCTGAGGCTGTGGCCGGGCCACCTGGCAGCTCCAGGTGCTGTGAGTATGCTGCCATGGAAACGGCCCTGGGGTTGATGGCAAGAAGGCAGTTTCTCAAAGCTAGGCGGATTCAGGAGAGGAAGAGACTGGAGCCTCAGACCCTTCAGAGTAGCCTCTCGGACCCCTCTCTTACAGTCCATAGAAGCCCAGGTGGGTGTCAGAACGAAGTGGGAGGATGAACCAGGGAGGCAGAGATCTGGGAAAAGGCACACAGGGCTGATCTGGGGGTCTCCCCCAAATTTCCAAGTCAAGGAGAAAAGGCACACAGGGCTGCTCACCAGGACCGGAACTGGTCAATCAGCTATAAAGAGTTGGGCACTGGCCCAAGGAGGGAAAGAGGGGCTGGTATTTGTCCCCTGAGGGGGGGGGCAGATCAGTGAATCACAAAACCCATCTCTGTGCTAATCAGGGATATGAAGGTGCAGGGAAGGAATAGCTGTCCTTTAGCAAGACACCCTGTGGTTTGCCCTCATGCTCCCTGGTGGCAAGGTGGCCTAGAACAACCACATGGCGCATAGGTGGCATTTTTGGTCATCTTCAAAGCCCAGGTGCCGTCACCTTTTATGGCAGCTCAATCTGGTGCTGCTGGTGGGGAGACTCAGGCCTTCATCCTGGGAAGGGGTGGCTGTGCAGCTCAGACTTAAGTCAGTGACCTAAGACTGGGTGCTCTGGGACCAACATGATTTCTTTCGAATCAACGTTCCTCCTCCTGTGAAATTCGGGTGGTCGTTTAACCTCCTGAACTGGGAGCTGCAGACCAAGCCTAGGGAGAGAGCCTCATGGGTGTGTTTTTGCTTTTTTATTCCCCTCTGCCAGGACATTCCCTGTGAGGTTCCCTGCATGTGGTCTGAGGATGACTGAGCCACAGGGTCAGGAGCTCACGGCTGAATGCCCTGTCTGCTGGAACCCCTTCAACAACACGTTCCATACTCCCAAAGTGCTGGACTGTTGCCACTCCTTCTGTGTGGAATGCCTGGCCCACCTCAGCCTAGTGACCCCGGCCCGGCGCCGCTTGCTCTGCCCACTTTGTCGGCAGCCCACCGTGCTGGCCTCAGGGCAACCTGTTACTGACTTACCCACGGACACTGCCATGCTGTCCCTGCTCCGCCTGGAGCCCCATCACGTCATCCTTGAGGGCCACCAGCTCTGTCTCAAGGACCAGCCCAAGAACCGCTATTACTTGCGCCAGCCTCGAGTCTACACACTGGACCTTGGACCAGAGCCTGGGAGCCAGCCTGGGCACCCCCAGGACACAGCCCCTGCCACCAGGCCTGTACCAATCCCCATTCCCAGCCACTATTCTCTGAGGGAGTGTTTCCGCAACCCTTACTTCCAGATCTTTACCTACCTGATGGCTGTCATCCTCAGCGTGACTCTGCTGCTCATCTTCTCCATCTTTTGGACTAAGCAGCTCTTTTGGGGTATGGGGTGAGTGCTGTTCCAGGATAAGGAACCAGCTGCTGCTGGGATGGGGCCTGTAGCCTCCTTTGATGTTGTCTTCCTTGTAGTATTGCTCATTTTACAGCCCAGGGATCAGTTGGATCTTGTCTGCTTTGGGACCAGACATGGTCCTATCATACTGAGAGGAAGAGCTGAAGGGCCAGAGACCTGAGTGTGAACTGTGGGGTCATGGCAGGCACAGCAGCAGATCTGTGACTACATGGCCACACAGCAAATTGTGCCAAAGGGCTCTACAGTTTCCAGTCAGAAATGTATTACATTTCTCAGTGGAGCTGCCTGGGACTCAGCTGTGTTCAGTTGCGCTTTTCATGTGTGTTGCTGACATTTTGCAGTGTTTCAATTCTGTGGGCAAATGTACTTGTTTCCCCCTTTCGGCTTTCTCTCTGATTCTTGCCACCAGTTCCAGTAAAAAGAATTTATTCCTTCCACAACCATTTATTGGGCAGGCATGGGGGAGAAAAGGTAGGGGTTTCCAGAGATGGCAGGTTGGTCTTACTGGCAGGGAGGGTATACAGGACCTCTTCAGTGTGCAGTTCTTCAGCATAGAGTGTGAGATGAGTTTGGAGGAAGCCAGAATGTGTGGCAAGAACCTGAGGTCTAAGGAACAGGTCTCTATTCCTCTTGGTCAGTGCAGAGGATGCCTGCAGGAGCTGGTCTCAAAGAGGTAAGGTGAACACCTGGGTAATGCTACGTCCCAGACGGGAGTAGGCTGAGGCACAGGGAGTGACCCTGTTCTTCACATGACAGAATGCAGGAACCAAGGACCTGAAATTCAGTCATTCCAGTGGCTGCTGGAGAGGGTGCCACGATGCAGTGTCTGAACTTGTTTTAATCTGGCCTTCTGGCTCCAGTCTCTGAAGCAATCCCAAAGTAGTTAAAACACAATTAAGAAAAAAGATATTTTACATTTAAAAATTTGTAGAATACAGTTAGAAGTCAGAACTTGAGTCAGTTTTATTTACTATAAATAACAGTTTTACAGAACTAGCTTTTATAAATTCCATAGGGGTCTGAAAGTAAAAGATATTCCAAAATGGCCAAGACGTAAAATCTATTTTGCATTTATTAAAACCAGTAGGTCTAAGCTCCAATGTGGAGAGTTTCTCCATTACAAAACTGGAAAGCTACCCATGTTTTCCTCCAGAGGCCAGCCCTTGCGATCCATTGGCACCATCAGATAATTGCACTGATGTGGAGACTCATCCTCTCCCCACTGACTTCATTTTCTACACTTTTGTTCCTTAATTCGTGGCAGGTTAAGTTAGGCAATGATCTCACCATATTCTCTGAGCTAAGAGGGACAGGGACAGGAGCTGGGGAAAGATCAACAGGGAGCATTTTCCCTGCACTAGGGCCCACTGGTCTAAGGAAGCTTCATCCTGCTGACAGAACTAAAGCTCTGCCCAAAGTCACCCAACTAGCAAGTGGTAGAATACTTCAGCAAGAATACAACTCACATTCTTGGGATAGTTGGTACACCAGAACTAGATATAGGGCTGAGTTACTTAAACAGAAAAATATTTAAAATTCTATTTTGCATTTGAAGTTCTAACCTCAGGGCAGTGTATTACTTTTGTGTCACTGTGATCACAATACCTAATGGAAACAAGACAGGTTGATTTAGGCTCACTGTTTCAGGTGGAAGTTTGTTGCAGGCACTCATCACATAACAGAAGACCAGGAGGCAGAGAGCTGCTGGAATCAGAAGCTGGGCTAACTACCTTCAATGGCCCAGTGACCTACTTTCTCCAGCCAGGTTCCACACCCTAGAGGTTCAACAGCACCTAACAGTACAACCAGCTGGGGACATTTCTGGTTCAAACCTTGACAAAGTCTCATCTTATGGGGCAAAGAGTTGAGGCACCTTCCACAGTGCTCAATCAAGGGCATGGGGTATACTTCTGTATTTAGTGTGCCCAGGCCAGGGGCACAGACCTGTTCTATACAAGGAAGCATCACCCATCGTAAAGGAAGAGGGGAAAGGAACTCTTATCTCAGAGTCAGAGATGGAATGATATGTCAACAGGAATCTACAAGATGAAAAGCTGACTTTGTACATGAATCAGACCACAAGGGCTACACTTGCTCATCAGTGTGGCCAACATCCTCGATAAAACCTGTAAAATCTTTCTACAGGCTCTCAAATGGTCAGACAATTTGGGTTCAAATTCAGTTTCCACCACTGACTAGCTGGGTAACTGAACAACTTATTTGAGTGCTTGACCATAAAAAGGTTGGATGAGTTGCCTGAATGTGCCTGGTTCATCATCCACAGGGAGTAAGGGTTCTAAACAGTAGCTCTGATGTTCATAATCTCATCACTGACATGAAAAGCCACATTTGGCTTTATGCTTCTCAGCCAACCACTTTTATACAATGATGGTTGATGAAATGGATATTTCATCAGACATTTGTTCTGCCAAAAGCTTAGATGAAACATTTCAACTCAATCACTCTCTGGGAACAACCAAAGACATAAGGTCAAGTCTGTAGTAAAATTTAAACCTGAGAAACTGAAAACCTTTGTTAGTGTGCCGTATCCAGATTTACCATCAGATTTACTGATGGTAAAACATCAGTCTCATTATTTTATAAACACTACAAAAACAGTAAAAAAAAGTTACATGGAAAACTGTAAAAGACACAATTGGCTAATGGTAGTGAAATGCCCAAGGGAGGGTAGACCTGTACCACCCTCAGGAACTCTAACTATGGCTATAACCGAACAGATTAAAAACAGTGTTTAGCTATATGCCACATACCCAGAATTACAGAAGAGTCACCAGCCATACCTGCTGAAACAGTAAAAATTTGAATACTCAAAGGGAAGCCATGTTCAAGCCCATATTAATCTTTTCCAAATTCCTTTTGTGTGGATTTACTTTGCAATTTGAGTCTAGGGGATGTATGTCTGCAGCAGGAAGGTGATGACTGATGAGAAATGATGTGGCCTACAACACTACTAAAAAAGTTGTTGACTGCTGGGTGTGGTGGCTTATCCCTGCAATTCATAGCACTTGGAAGGCAGAGAGGCAGGGAAATTAACCTGAAATACATAGCAAGACCCTATCTTAAAAAAAACCTATCCATGGGGGCTGGAGAGATGGCTCAGTTGTTCTTGCCAGACTGGTTGTTCTTGCAGAAGACCCAGGTTTGAATCCTAGCACCTACATGGCAGCTAACAACTGTCCCTAACTCCAGTCCCAGGGGATCTGACACGGGTGCACTTACCTACATGCAGGCAATACATGCATACACATAGAAAAAAAAAACAAAACAAAACCTAACTACAAAACCCCAAAACACTTGTTAACAAAGTGACTCCTGAGGAGACAGAAACTGGAGCAATCCATGTATGGTATGTTAGATCTCACAACTCAAAAAGGGACCTGCCGGGCGTGGTGGCGCACGACTTTAATCCCAGCACTCGGGAGGCAGAGGCAGGCGGATCTCTGTGAGTTCAAGGCCAGCCTGGTCTACAAAGTGAGTTCCAGGCCAGTTGGGGCTATAGGGAAACCCTGTCTCAAAAAGACCAAAAAAAAAAAGGGACTAAGGGACTTCCTTGGACTAGAATTCAGAAATGCTAACTAGAAAATAATTCTTTGAAGAATAGTTTTTATACTCTCAACAAGTATATAATAAAAAATGTTTGAGAATGCCCATTAGGGACCCCCCCAGTTACTCTGATATGGAAATATCCTTTAATACATTAAGTATACCCTTTAAATAACAAACAGAAAGGATGTTGTACAATATAAACAATCACATTCGAATTTTGACACAATGGCCTTGCTTTAGGGTATCATGAAGGATGCCAAACTTCAAAACGGAAAACATTTTTCCTGATAAGGCAAGTGTTCAGTTCTGAGTTTCCCGATGTAGTTAACATTCCACATGAACTCCAAAGGAAGAGGGCCGATCTTTACTGCACAACCATCAGCACAGCTGCAGTCTACTGCTTTACTTTTCATTCTTAAGGGAAGGAGAGGGGCTCTCTGTCAGCTACTGACTGTTCAAGTAACGCATGGCGACATGCCCTCTTACCTGAAGAACTTTGGAATACCCCAGCCATCTTCCTTGCTAGATCACATGTAGTCCTGAACACATAAAATGGAACAGAGAATCAAGTTTCAAGAATTAAAAATGCCATCACTCAAGAGGCAGAGGCAGGAGGATCCCAGATGTGAGGCTAGCCTGGTCTACATACTAAGTTCTAGGCAAACTAGGGCTACATAGAAAGACCCTGTCTCAATAACCCAAAAAAAAAAAAAAAAAAAAAAAATGCAAAGAAGTCACAATCCTGAGTGCTGAGGGAGGCGGAAGGGCATTCAAAAAAACGATTAAACAATGTCTACATAGTTCATGGCAGAACCTGAGGACGAGAACTGAGTTGTAACCACAAAAGGGTTTTTGCCATCACTTAGAGACTGGGCTGTCTACTTGGAAGTGAGGCTGATGGGAAAATCCAATCCGAAGCATGGTAATTGGCAGAAAACATGATAGAACAAAATACAATTTTTCTTTTGCTGAAAATGGTTTCTAAGGGAGAGCTTGAGGTCAAAGTCCGTCTTCTATGGTCTTGCCTACTCTGCCATCCAGAGCTTGAAGGTCCTATCATATGAACAAGTAGCTATGAGTTGTCCATCAGAAGAGATGTCTAGGCCCATCACTTTGCCCTCATGTCCAGCCAGTGTCTTCAGTGGGGACCAGCCTGGGTGGGTCCAGATCTTGGCTGTGTTATCATAGGCACCAGTGAGTAAGAAGTTTCCATGGATAGCTGCAGGAGAAAAAGAGTAGTTAGCTTCAAAAAGTGCTCAAAAGAGCATAAGAAAACATTACAAAGATCTGCCAAAGCATACTGTTTCGAAAGAGAAGGTATTGCTATTTCAGAAAAACCCAACACATGGATTGTATATTTCTCTTGGGCCTCCAAGACAAAGGAACAATTGTGGGCAGACTGACAACAGTAAAAACAGTTTGGCTCTCTCCCTGGTAATCAGGATACAGTGCCTGGACTGTCCGTCCATGGAGGAAAGAATGAAGCATTTATGGAAGTCTTTTTTTTTTTGGGTCTTTTTGAAACAGAGTCTCCCTGTAGCTCCAGCTGTCCTGGAACTCACTATGTAGACCAGGCTGGCCTCAAACTCACACAGATCTGCCTGCCTCTGCCTCCACACCCGGCTGGAAGTCTTTACTTTGTGGCAACAAGAAGCATGCTTTGCTACTGTCTACAGGTATGGCAGAGGGAAAAAAATTATAATTTGCTTCTTTTTTAAAAAACATTTTTAAGCAGGGCGTGGTGGCGCATGCCTTTAGTCCCAGCACTTGGAAGGCAGAAGCAGGTGGATCTCTGTGAGTTCCAGGCCAGCCTGGTCTACAGAGTGAGTTCCAGGCCAGCTGGGGCTACAGGGAGACTCTGTCTCAAAAAAAAAAAAAACCCACATTTTAAAATTTATTATCTTTATTTTATGTTTATGAGTGTTCTACCTACATGTATATAAATGCACTTGTGTTGTGCAATGCCTGAGGTGATCAGAAGAGGGCATCAGGTTCCCTGGAACTGGAGTTACAAATGGCTATTAGCCACCATGTGGTACTGGGAATCGAACCCGGGTCCTCTGCAAGAGCAGTCAGTGTTCTTAACAGCTGATCCATCTCTCCAGCCCCATAATTTGCTTCTTTAACAGAGGTCAAAGTCAAACTCTTGTCTAGTTCCATGTCTAAGTTAAGCTAGCACCTGGCTTGTATCCCACAGGAATGCAACCTGGTGTTTAGGATGAGGACGAAAGCTTACGCTCAAATTTGACCCCAGTCACTAAATTCTGATGGGCAGGGATGGTATAGACGCAGCGTCGCTGTCGAAGGTCCCACACTTTGCAGGTGTTGTCACCACTTCCAGTTGCAATGTGGTAGCTATGGATCAGAGGAAGCATCAAAGTTAGAAATAAGGAGTACTGCCTAAGAACCCTTCCCCTATCTCTTCTCCAGTGAGTTTACTTTACCCATTAGGGGAGAAATTTATCCCGTAGATTTCCTTCAGGTGGCCTTCTAGGAACATGATGCAGCGTCCTGTACGCAGGTCCCAAACCCGGCCAAATGCATCCAGTCCCCTGAGGAGACAACATACATGAATGTTCTGAATTTAGTTCTATATGGAGGCAGGTATGTCTAGAAGTGAAACTACTGGGTTGCCCCTTACTTTGTGGAAGAAGTCTTACCCAGTGCCAGCCAAAGAGCCATCTTGATGGAAGGCAATGTCATACACACCCATGCTGTGGCCTTCCTGATGCAGGATCTCCTCTTGAGCCTCTAAATCCCATAAGCGCCATGAACGGTCATAGCTTAAAAGAAAACAAAACAAACAAAACACACTAACAACTGACCAGCATATTGATTCAGTTTCCATAATGTACAAGAACTAAATAATTGTAGTTTAGCTTATACTTTTGTAACTTTTCAATCCAACTGTATTAACAAGAAATCTCTTCCTGGTATAAACAATGCCTCACCATCTAAGCCTATCGTTAGATGATAGTTGGGAGACTATGAACAAGCTGTAAATTTACCTTGGCGGTTGTTTGTTTTTCTTTTTTTTTTGAGACAGGGTTTCAACTATGCAGCTCTGGCTGCCTTGAACTCACAGAGATCTGCCTGCCTCTGCCTCTGCCTCTGCCTCTGCGGGGATTAAAAGTATCCACCACTACCCAGGTTACTGGCTAATTTTAGAAGAGAATTCCCTGGGTTGGGGGGTAAACTTCATGGTAGGAAGGCTTGCCTGGCATGCACAAGGCCCTGGATTCAGCCACTAACACAAAACAAAAACAAAATTCTCTAAGAATGGTTCAGTCAAGAATCTAACAAATTTTTCTCCCCTCATCCCACTGCTACACTACTTCACTCACTCAGCATGTATATATTTACTGGACATTAGAAAAAAAAAAAAAACCAAAAGGAAAAAACAGAGTAGAGAGTACAAAACAGACCCAAATATATGATCAAAATGTTTCCACCATGGGTGCGAAAGCAGTTTTAACAGACGTCTCCTCAGTAATTGTAGCAGACAGGTTATGTAGGTACAAATAAAGATAGAAAAGACAAACTCAGAAAGGGCAAAGCAACTGGACCCTGCACAATAGAGGATACATATAATCAATAAATATATGGCAAAATACTCAATAGCAACAGTCCTCAGGTAATAATTACAAATGGAAAGTAGTATTATGCACTTGCTACAATAGCAAAATAGTAAGATTGACAAGAGTAAATATGTTGGCAGGGGTTTGAAGCAAAGCCACCAGAACTCAGCATGTAACTGGCACAACCATTTTGAAAAGCCATATACAAGTTTTCATTCTGCAGAACAGGGTCTTACTATAAAGCCTAGGCTGTCTTAAACCTGTGATCCTCTTGCTATGGCTTGCTGAGTGTTGGGATACAGGCATATGCCATGTGCCTAGCTTGCCTCTAAGTATAAAAATATTAAACATAATTTACCCTATGAACTAACAACTGTACTGCTAAGTATTTACTCAAAAGAAAGGAAGGAAAAACAAATTTGAAAAAAGGCCTCATATAAGAATATTTATAGCTGGATGTGGTGGCGCACACCTTAATCCCAGCACTTGGGGAGGCAGAGGTAGGCGGATCTTTGTGAGTTTGTGGCCTGCCTGGGTTACATAGCAAGTTCCAGGCTAGCTGGGGCTACAAGGAGAACCTGTCTCAAAAAGACCGAAAAAAAAAAAAAAGAAAAGAAAAGAAAAGAAAATAGCTGGATGTGGTGGCGCACACCTTAATCCCAGCACTTGGGGAGGCAGAGGTAGGCGGATCTTTGTGAGTTTGTGGCCTGCCTGGGTTACATAGCAAGTTCCAGGCTAGCTGGGGCTACAAGGAGAACCTGTCTCAAAAAGACCGAAAAAAAAAAAAAAGAAAAGAAAAGAAAAGAAAAAAGAATATTTACAGTAGGGGTTAGAGAGAACGCTCAGCAGTTAAGAGCACTGGCTGCTCTTGTCACCCACATGGCAGCTAACAAGGTCCATAACTCCAGTTCTAGGGAATCTGACACA